CCATTTCCTCGTGTGTTAAATGTAACAAATTATCTTCTACTTACTCTTTTATTGCTTCTCTTGACTCTGTTTAGATCCTGAAATTAGTTCAACAAGCTCTATCCCATTATTGGCGGCAAACAACGATGCTTGATGAAATGAATGTCTAAACTGAAAATGAAACTTGGGAACTAGTTGAATTATCTTCTAGCAAGAAGGTTGTTGGATGTAAATGAGTCTTTGCAGCCGTAGCTCGGTTGGTTGCTAAGGGCAATGCTTAAATTTACGGGATTGACTACTTGGACACGTTCTCTCCGATAGCAAAGTCGACTTTAGTTCGACTATTTTTGTCCTGAGCCATAATGAATAATTGGTATTGCACCAACTTGATGTGAAAAATGTCTTTCTACATGTTTATCTATTGGAAGAAGTTTACATGAAGCAACCTCTTGGGTTTGTTGCTCATGGAGAATCTAGAAAAGTATTTCTTTAGAAGTTATTATATGGATTGAAGCCGAGCCCCAGAACATGATTTGGAAAATTCAGCAAAACAATAGAAGAGTTTAGGATGAAAAAAAAGTCAAATTAATCACCATATATTCTATAAGCAATCTCTATCAGGATCAATCTATTAGTGGTATATGTTGATGACATTTTGATTACTATAAACAGTATGCAGAGAATCTTATTAGTGAAATCATTTGTCTGAAATCAGTTCAACACTAAAGATTTGGGTACCTTGAAATATTTTTTGAGGGGTTATCAAGGAGCAAGAAGGGTATCTTTCTATCTCAAAGGAAGTATATTTTTTATTTCTTAGAAAAAATAGAAAATTAGGAGTCAAATCATGCAATACATCAATGCTTTCTAGTCGACAACTCACCAAGGATGAAGTCTTTTAATGATCCTGAAGTCAGTGAGAAAATTAAACAACCTCATAGTGACTCGCCCTGAAATTACTTATTTAGTTAGCACTATAAGTCAGTTCATGCCTTCCCTACAGTTCATTCTTGTTTAGCTTCAGAACAGATACTATGTTACCTCAAAGAAACTACTAGACAAAGAATTCTATATTGGAACCACAAGCAAAGAAATAATAATTATTTCTCTGATGCAAGTTAGGTGAGTTCTAAGATTGATCAAAGATCCATTATTAAATATTGTGCTTTTGTTGGTGGCAATTCGATCTCATTAAATAGTAAGGAACAGAATGTGGTGACACGATCCAGTGCAAAAATCTGAGTATTAGCAATAGAAAAAGGTTCGAATGAATTGATGTGATCTCTCAATTCTTGACCGAAAAATATTTTAAAATAGAGTTCCAGCAAAGGTTCCAGCAAATTTGTGGTGTGATAACTTGGTTGCAATTCAAATTGCCTCAAACCTTTTCTTCCATGAATGAGCCAAGCACAATGAGAAAGACTGTCATTTTGTTCCTGAAAATATTCAACAAAGTTTGATTCCTACAGCTCATATAAAGACTGAATAACTAGAAGACATCTTCACAAAGGCCCTTAAAAGGTCACTTATATTTGTAACAAGTTGGGCATGATAAATACCTAGTCCAACTTGAGGGGGAGTTTTATAGAAAATATATATCTAAAGCTTGTATATAAGGAAGCTTAGGTAATCTAATTAAAGAAAATCTAATTACAGGATCTTTTCTATATTAGAGATATTGTATATATGTAACATATGTTTTTAATTGAGAAATAAGAGAGAGTACAATCAATACTTTCCATTACAAGGACAAATTTGGTTTTTACCACAATCGATACTTCTTGATCCAATTTACATGATGTCAAGTTTGATTTTTTCTCTGACATCATGCTTGGTTGTGTCAAATCGTGGGGCTTATAAAGTAAACGCCTAGGATAGCTAGAACACAATATTCCCTTAATTATTTGCATTTCCAACAGAAAAATAAACGACTTGAGCATAAATCCAATTCACTTTTATAAATTCTAATTGTTTCAAAAAAGCAATATGGAAGAAAAAGTTTATACTCATTTGCAAATAAAAATTCATTAAAAAAGCTGACAATAACGTCACGACTTGTGTATCTTAAAGCCTATTAAATTAAATCTGCATGCAGGAGGCCCCAATTAAATCCATTGTGCAAACTTGAAGCGGTTAAAAGAAATTAAGGTAGAAACTAAACTTGCTCATGGGCTTGGTTATGACAAATTCGATAAAACCAAGAATAAAAAGCGTAAAGATTTAAAAAGAAAAAAGCAACGTAGAGCCCAGGAGAATTTCAAACAAATGTGCATGCCACTAATCTGAACCTTTAAATCTACTGGGAAATTTCCATTACAAGTTAAGAATAAATGATTGTAAAGCTGAGAAGTTATCATCTAGAACGACATATGGAAATCAACAAAAAAGCCAAATAGTAAAAAAATATTAAAAAGCATATCAATGCATTATCTGATCTTCTAGATTACAACGCTTGAATGTTAAGTAGCACAAATAATACAAAGTTCCACAGGTTTTGAACATAATTAAAAATCCTCCAATCGGTTAAAAAGCTTAAAAAAAAACAATTTCTTTCTTCACACTAAAAAATACATTTATATGGTTATCTTGATTGTGTTTGTATACCCTTAAGATGACATGTCAAGAAGTCAGGTTGCTTTGCCAAGATGTCCCATACTAATTATCAAGTACAAGCTATTGAGTAGATATTGTTGAGTATGAGTTATCAAAGTTGAAAAGTGAGAGCTACCGAACACCAGAGTTGACGTATGAGCTGTCAAGTATATTTGTTGTGTACCAACTGCTAACACAAACGGCTACTTAACACAACCCAACGCTCAAGACCCAATCACTCCTATGAATAGTAACCTGGAGAGAGCTAAAAAGGGTAAGTTTCTATTTCCCTGGAGCATCTCTTTTCTAGATTTCCTCTAGCTTAATTTTTTTGACCCTTCATTATTAGGTTATATTCTTTAACTCTGAGATATTTGGAAAATTTTACTTCCACTGTTTTCAATTCTTTTCAGCCTCTCCTTCCCTCTCTGCTAGTTCTCTCTGCTAGTAAGATTCATGCATAATCAACATATAAATCATGATTCAACATCCTAAAATGAGTAGAGAATGTGAAAAAATGCCTTGAATTTGAATTTAAGTGTGATCTTCAAAGAGAAAATAGAGATCTAACCCGAGTAAATCTTATCATGTTAAAAGAGGAGCAAATCAAATGGCCTATCTCACACTAACATTCGTAGGAATAGAAAGTAAGAACCTATCTAAACCACTTTTCTTTTTATTTAATTAACTCTATGTAACCAAATTATTATATAAACTCATTTGTACATATATATAATAAGTAATGGGGCAAGACTTGCCCTATAAAATGAGCTTGACAATAATACTCATAAAGCTCGGCCCTCATAGGCAAGTTTTATAAGAGTAAAAGAAAAATCATTTAACATTTAGACCCTAATCATCGTGCTAGTCGAATTCTACGAACAACTTCGATAAGTTAACCTGCGAAATAAAGATCATGAGATCTCGCCCAAAATAAAGTTGAAAATTACAACTATTCCATATAGAAAAGCTACAGCCTCCGAGCAAAAGATAGTTCGAACTTAATGAGAACATTTGAATTCATTTATAAATGAGTAATATTACAAGAAAATAGTCAACTAGTCGTACAAAGAGGACGAAACTTCTTATAGAAAAATTAAGTTCAGTAAGAAAAATTCAAGGAAGCACACTATAAGGCAAATTCACCAGTAGGTCAACCAAATAATCCACCATGTGAAATCTCGATATAAGTTTGAGCTGATAAGTTGTAAGACTACTCCCCCAATGCGAGCTAAAAAAATCAGAACCAAACTATTAAGTGAAGCTCAATCAACACTTAGCAAAAGCCACCTCCCATGTTTTACTCAAAGAAAATGAAATAATTAACAATTGCACCATCTTCAAAAAAAAAATATCACAGAAATAACTTGTCATGAAATAATTCCTCCATGAAAGCACAACATCATGGCGGCTATATACAACAGAACACCCTTTTTGATGTAGGGATATATTGTCAATAAAACTTTCTCTAACTACTCTTGTCCAGACCATCCACATAGTTAGGCCGATGTCAAAGTTTTGAACTTGTCTTATAAAAACAAGATGGGTAGAACCCTTACTACTAAGCAATGAATAATTTTTTTTTATCATTCTATTATTTTTCACCAGTTGTCTTCCAAGATATAGGAGAATCAAAACAAAACTAAATGTGTACCTTAAGGCGACCTACCGAGTTACACTGTCGAGCTGTTGAGTTGCCTTGTCGAGCTGTCAAGTTCAAATTATTGAGTACCAATTGTCAAGTACTAGCTGTCAAATACGAATTGTCTAGTACGAGTAGAAGATTATGAGATATTGAGTATGAGTTGATGAGTACGAGTTGGTGAGTACAGGCTGTCAATTACATTTGTCCTGTACCAACTACTAACACAAACAACTACTTGCCATAAACAACCCTCGAGACCCTAGACACGCTTATAAATACAAAATCTTGAGAAGAACTAATAAAAGGGGTAGGTTTCTATCCGATAACTCTCTTTTTTGGGCCCATAAGAGCTTCCTCGGGGAAGTCTCTTTTTCCTTTAAGAACCTCATTTTCATCTCTCTTTTTGCTTCTCTTACTTATGTTTTTTTTTACCCTTTTTCATTCTTTGGAGAGCCAACTTTATGTTAAATTTTCTAGCTCGGAGATACTTGGTGGATTTTACTTCCTCTGTCTTCGATTCTTTTCACGTCTCCCATTTTCTCTATGTTAGTAAGATCCGACAAAATACACGGACAAATTAGAATTCAATAGTAATATACTAGACCATTTTGCAAGGTTGCCAAAAGACAATCAAGTGTTCATAAAACCCATTTACCAGCAGGCTGTAAAGCTTTTATATTTTTTAAACCGGCTGCACTAATATTGATTATCATGCAGGTCTTGTCCTAGGGAGTGAATTACACAATATGAAATGCTATTTAACTTTAAGAACTTTTGATATTACCATAACGACAACAAATCTATCAGTTGTAGGCTCAGGTCCAATGTGAGCACCTGCACACAAGGAGAGATATGAAGTTGGAAAATCGAAGGCAAGGAAAAAACAAAAAATCAAGCTAGGAACTGTTATTTTGCATTTGAACAAACCTGGATAAGTAGTTCCCAGTAGATGCTTAATAAATGTGGTTTTCCCAGTTGAATATTGACCCAAGAGCATAACCATGGGCTTGGCATCAAAGTCGCTGTTTGTCTACAGATTAACAGTAAGGAGCCAGAAAGCACTATATTAATGTTGCATAAGCACAAAACATGAACAAGACAAGAGTTGATAAAAATGTCATTTCAACGTCAGTTTAATTTAGCAATAAGCTGGCACTGACTAAAGTTGGCATGTTCTTTGCTAAGGAATTAAGATAGAACAACCACAACATACCAGCGAAGGAGAAACAAATTCATTGAAGTGATAGGTAACTTCCAGTGGCTTTAATTTTTCAATATACAATCTCTTCAAACCATCAATAATGGAAGTGACAGAGCTTAACGGAATCTGCAAATCATAGCCAAAAAATGATCTCAAAAGAAATGAACAGCCAAAACCAACCATAAATAACAGAAAGCCTACATACAGTCAACAGAATGCTCACACACTTCAAGTTATGAAGCAAACTCAGAAGTAAAAGTATGCAGGTATTACTAGAAATTTAGAGAAAATTGCATTTTAGTTTGATCTTGATCAATAATGAATTTAGTTCAGTACTTCTTAAAACCCTCAAAGATGATTCTTATTTTTTTCAAATCAAACTAAATAATTGAAATCAATTACACACCATTCTACAAACTACCAAATTTCCCAAATAATATCCCATCACCTCTTTCAAAAGTGTAATCAGCCAGCAATCCACGTGTAATGGCTATGAAACTCTTTCCACAACTGACCTTATGAGAGAAAGCGAACACTTAAACTATTATGGCTCAGACAGTAGTGAGTTGATAATAGTAGAACCAAAGTGCTGTCAGGTAAGATCAGAAGAGGAGAAGGAAAAGAAAGAAAGTTTTACCTGGCCTATGAGATTTGGAGACTACAACACTAGGGTAAATGGCAAGGATATTAACAACTCTGATGCTATCTCAAAAACAATCTGCAAACAAACGCAACCAAGTAATAATGAAGTTCTAGGAACTATTTGAGTTCTTTCACACTAAAATCCTAGTGGATGCTATTTAAGCTCTTTTATATTGATCCTCCCTAAACATGATTCTTTTCATGCATTAATAGAGGCAAGCAGAATAGGAATACTAGCCATCACGAAGGCAGTGACTGATAAACAATGTGCCAGAAGGGTGGCAAAACTTAGCGGATGAGACTGCCAGAAGGAATCAGCAAGGATAACATAAATAATGTGCTATTTGTAATAGAGGCTATATAAGGGTACCACTTTAGTCCTTATCTTTGTACAAGAAATTTTGGCTAAACATAAGAGTTAACGCCACTTACAAAGGTCACCAAAAAATATTTAAATAAATAAAAGAGTGTAAACCCCAAATGTAATGCACAATAGGAATGCATGAAAAAGGATAAAAGTCATTAAATTAACCTCAAATACCTAAATAGGGCTATAATGAATGCATGTAAATGGTTTGGATGTTGGTTTATGTGCATATAAGCTATACACTACAAACTAGTATGCATCAGGGCATAAATAAATTTTGTAGGAGTTTATAGCATGTTCCACAGCATAAAAAAAATGGCATCCCAGTTCTTTATTTTGGCAAAAACCCCCACATCACATGGTCACATTATAAGCCCTAAGAGAACCTTAAGAGAAAAAAAAAAGTTGATTTGAATTGATAGTTTGATTCTAAAAAAAGACTTCCTTGGATCAAAATCATGGACTGAAATGTAATATTGGCCCAAAAAAAAAAAAGAGCAAAACTGCAATTTAACCATAAATTTAAACTACAAAAATATGTACCAGTGATGATCAGAGATCTGCTGAAATTAAGTGATACAGAGAATAGATATGCAAAGAATAATTGAAAATTACACTGAGCATTATTTTAAATTGATACAATGAATCCAAAAAATAAAAAAACAAGCACTTTAAAATCAGTAGTACATTCCAAAATTGAATAGCATCATTGCCATTAGTAGAAATTCCTCCAAGTTCAAATACACATCTCTAATCAAGTATATCATTAGTTGGCAATTATCATTAAAAACTTTGAAACATCCATATATAATAGAACATCGTGATTAGATGCCATTTTCCCTTGTAAATGAGAAAGAGAACTCCTACCAACAACATAGTCTGAGCCAAACTCCATCTAAATCCTAGCTCACTAAATCAAAGCCTGGCAGTTAAAATGTCACCTACTTCTGCTAATACCATAATGATTTCTTGTGACAAATATCTACTTTAAGATGTTTTGGAAGCCATTCAGGTGGAATATTATTCTCTACAGGTTTTTGATTGCATGAAGAACCAAGTTTTAACCTATATCTATAGCAATGCACCAAAAACTATTTAATAAATAAATAAATCATTAATCAAACAACTACTGCTTCCCAACGAATGTGCATGCAAGAAAAACCAAGCAAAAAATTCATCACATATTCTTGGATTAAAAAATCTAGAATCTCCTGACAAACCCAATTGAAAAGTGAAAATTTAAGCATAAATAGCATAACTTCATACAATAATAAAAGAAATAAAATAGACGGGGGCATAATAGTCAATCATATGAATCAAAGAGACGATGGTTGCATGGAATACCTTCTTCGTTGATTTTGAGTTGAACCATTGAGTTGATGATGATACTTGGGTAGCAGGTGCAACTGCATCACTCAGAGATAAATGTAAAGAAAATCAAGTTCCCTTAATGATAACTTTGCAGCTATGGATTCTCGGTTACATACCATCTAAATCCGGACTGCTTTTCTTAGGTGATGGCCTGTTTTTCTAGAAACAAGCAATTCAACATTAGTATCAAAACCCTATAAAAGAAATATACATAAAAGCTGTATTCCAAACTTACAGCAATTAATACGTCCAAACCATCCATATCTGGAGGTTTTAAGCTTCGCAAATCTATCATAACAAGCATATAATGAGAAAATTTGATGCAGCACAATTGTCATGCATAGGAATACGAGCACTGATTTGTTTAATATGAATAAAGAAGAACTTCATAGTTCACCTGTGTTGTTAAGCATATCAGGTGTAATCTCATTTCCAGCCTGTGCCAATGAAATAAGCTGAAAAGATGAAAATAAGAATATGAATAATGAGAAATATGGAATAATAACTGGACAAAACAAAACAAAATTGCATGGTTCCAAAACAAGTGCAAGTAAGGACCTGCATTGCAGTAATAAACTCACTGAAACCAAGAAAGCCCTGCCGCTTAGAATCAGCTATCGCCCAAACCTTTTGAAAGTTGCATTAGTAAAAGCACATAAAAAAGATGGAAGACAAACGAATTTGCAAAAAAATTAAAGGTTATTCATTAAAATGAAGGACAATAGAATCTTTGAACTCTCGAACCATCATCTCACACACTTGGTTTATGGTACTGATTATACCTTTCTAACAACATTTTATCCAAATTGCCCTAAAGAAAACAAAAATAGATATTCAAAGCGTTCAATTATGATTTATATAGGTCGATTTCCGTATTTCTGTTCATTTCCATTGTTTTCTGTCTTTCATATCGTTTTCTGTCTTTCACTTTACCCATTATTCAATGGCAACGTCTATTGCCCTACTAGAAAAGCCCAGAAGGAGAAAATTAAGTAAAACAGGATGTACTTCCATCAGTGATTCAGGAAAACCCAATGAGGTAAAAAATCAAGTCTGAGGTAAAGAACTACTAGTTATGGATGCTCTTATTGGACATTTACAGGAGGATGTGCCTTAGTGTATGCTTTTCATAGATGATATCCTTCTTGTGAGTAAAATTAGAGAAAGAGTTAAATTAGAGAAATAGTTCAGAAAAAACTTTAATTATGGAGGTCTACATTGGAATCTAAAGGCCTTAGTTTGAGTAGAACTAAAACTGAATACATGGAATGTAATTTTAGTAGCAGAAGCTCTATTGGCAGAGTTGTAACTATGGGTGATCAAATCATTAAAAGGTGTGAACATTTTAGAAATTTTGGGTCTATTGTTCAAAGTGATGGCAATATAGATGGGGATGTTATTAGTAGAATTCGTGTTGGTTGGTTAAAGTGGAGGAATGCATCAGATCTATTGTGTGATAGAAAAGTACCGCTTAGACTGAAAGGAAAATTTTATAAGATGGTGGTGAGACCTACAATGCTCTATGGCGCATAATCTTCGCCTTCAAAAGTGAAGCATAAAAAAAAATTAAGTATTGTTGAGATGTGAATGCTTAGGTGGATGAGTAGCTTGACACAAAGAGACAAAATATGAAATGAATACATCCGTGATAGGGTTGGTGTAGCTGCAGTGGCGGACAACCTCACGGAGAGTTGTTTTAAACTGTTTGGTCACATTAAATGTCAATCATCAACCCCAGTTAGTGGGATAAAGACTTGTTATCGTTGTTGTTATTATTGCTGTCATTGTTGTAGAGGTGAAGAACTACGCCAGGCAAAGGCAAAACATAGGGAAAAAAAAAACCAAACACATCAAAACATACGGAATGGAGAGAAGCAAAACCTGTTTGAGCTCCGCGCGCGAAAGCTTGGACATTCCAAATAACCTGATGGCATCATTCCCCGTGATGCGTCCGTCTCCGTCTAATTGCCGACATAACCGGGGAAATCAAAGCATATAGCATCATCATTTTCAATAGAAAAAAAAAATCTGAGCAAAAGGATCTATATAGTGAACAAGAAGCGACAGACCTGAATCCGCAAAAGTGAACCATTCCTGGTAAATCTTCTGGTGCTCTCGCGAGCAGGAGCTGATCACGGGCGCAAGAATATCCATTGTGGATGCACGGGCGATGGATTCGAAGATTAAGAACAGAACCAGAACCAGTTAATGCAAGAGAGAGAGGGAGGGAGAGAGGAGCACTGCTTGCTGTCGAAAACCTAATTTGGAGGAGGGAAGAAGAGGAACGATGGTCTCTAGCTGTTTTTGACTGGCCCTCAATTCAAAAAAAGGAATAAGATGAGAGCGATCGGGTTCAATTCTTCCAGCCGTAAAATGCATCTCTTGCGAGCGGCTTACGAAACGTTTTTATGCGTTTAGAGCGCCCATGTGTCCGTACGACTGTTATTTTTAAGTTATTATAATGTTATTTTTCTTATGTCATGTTAAAATTTTGTGTTAAGTGCCAAAGAAAAATTATTACTGCATGTAGAGCTGCTTGCGGTGCAGAGTCTCGAGTTGACACGTGGAAAGTTGTGGTCCACCTGCATAAAAAATGAAAATAAGACTGATAAAGCGCGACCTGTCCCGATCGAATATTCTCTCGTGTTATTCGTGTGTTATTGGTGTGTTATTGAGGTGTTATTCATGTCGGAGAATATTTTTTGCGTTTTTAATGTGTTAGTAGTGTGTTATTCATAAATAACACCTAAATAACACACCAATAATACATGAATAGCACAAAAAATATTCAAAATAACACGAAAAGAATATTCTTATAACACGGTCGAGTCGGGTCGCGCGTTTTAATGTGGTATTAGTGCGTTATTCATGTGTTATTGTTGTGTATTGAAGTAATATTTTCCACGTTATTCATATGTTATTGGTGTTATTGTTTAAAGAACAATAATATCTCAAAATTAACTCAATAACACATCAATAACGCAGAAAATATTCAGAATAACGCGAAGTGAATATTCCTGTAACACGGTCGGGACGGGTCACAGGTTTTCATTCTCTTTTTTATTTTATATGGAGGTGGGCCCAGGCTTTCCCCGTGTCAACTCCAGATTGGACTCCGCAAGCAGCTCTGCATGCAAAGTCCTGATATAATAATTTTTCCAAAATATGAAGGTTTAAATGCGAGAAATGTACAATCCACCTCAAAATTCAGATTTTCATTTACATGAAATGAAATGTTGGTAATTTGATCTTTTATCTCTCATGAAATATCAATCTAACTTTTCGTTGCACCAACTCATCCCATATTGGGTCTACGAGTCAGTTTGTCCCCCTAAAAAGAAGACTCGTTTCACTCCTGAAAATATAAATACAAAAAAATTATGTGTTATGCATGTAAATGCCTTTAAAATTTAATATAATTTTTAAATTACAATTTATGGGAAGATTTTTTTTTTTTTGTTAAAAATACAATAAAATCTGACATTTATGAGTGCGACATGAATAGAATGAAAGAAGAATAAATATTTTCTTTAGAGCTAATAAAGAGAGAATTATATATATATATATATTCGAAGAGGTATTGATGATATAATATGATAGGTGGTGCTTGAAAAATAACATGGAGAATAAGCTGGTTTATCATAATAAAAGTAGGTACACGATTTATTTGCATATGTCATGGTCATCCATATAATCCTTTCCATAAGCAGTTACATGCATCAAGTGCAAGGCTGTATGTTTAGCTCAAAGAACATTAATCTCTATAAAATTGATTCGAATTTTATCTCAATTTGAGATCATATTGAAATAAGCAAGCCGAACTACAAGCCAACAGTTTGGGTCAAATTTTTGTGGAGCCGATTTCGAGCCAAACCCAACTCAGCTCGAAATCAGATTGTTAACAGGCTTGTAATGACGTTAAGATTGTGAATTTCGAGAATTCAGCTCGAAGATCGTAATTGCTAAAATATTGATTCGAATTTTGGCTCGGATCGAAAAAAATGAGACGAGCTACGAGCCAAATTTTGATCGAATTTTATTCGAGCCGGCCTTTGCTCGACTTGAAATCGAATCATTAACAATCCTAATCAAGTAGGAAGTATTTAAGTGGGGTGTGAAGTCAATATTATTGGGAGGGCATAGGGAACGCACATCTAGATTTATAAGTTATTTCATATTACATAGTATTCGCCAACAATTCGATCTAAAACTAAATAAGACAATACGGAGGGTTAAAGCTAAGTCTAACATTAGGGCGTCATATATGAAAGCATGGGATGCAATGAAGACAATCAGAACCATCCCTAGCAGTCGGGAGGATTCATATAGATCTATTTTTGGATTTATGGAGGCAATTTGTTCGATCATGAGAAGATAAATATACATGATAAGATTAAGACATAGTAATCACTTCAAATGTATATTTTGGATGTTTGGCCTTTCAATCGATGGGAGAACTTACTATCGGTATGTACTAAGTTTAGATGAATTACATTTACTAAAAACATAAATTGTGGTATTAATCACTCTAGTTGGAGTTGATGTAGATAAGGGTCTCATCATGTTAACATTTGTAATTGTTGAATTAGAATGTAATGAATCATGGATGTAGTTTTTACAAATTCTACATGACATTGTTTTGATGGTTAATGTTCGAGATAATTTATTTATAATGTCTGATAAGCATGTTGATTAGTAGAGAGATGTCATGATATTTTTTTCCTTGAGCAACTAATAAGCATTGTTCGAGTTGTTTAAGAAAGAACATAAAAAAATTCTTTAGAAAAATAGACATTTCAAATGTTAAATCAATGTGCCAAATGTCGACCCTTATATCCAGTCCACAAAATGAGTTTATCACACGGCGAGAAGAGTGAATGATGAATGTGATCTCACGCGATCAAATTTGAAGTGCCCCAATCACTCCGAAGTCATTTAAAAATAACATATGTTTATAAATAGACTGCCCCATTGGATTCAAAGCATCAAAATTGTCAAAGGGGGAGTTTTCTAAGATCGAAGGAAGCGGATGCGACAAAAATGTGAGGGTTGTCAGCACAACGTGGACGATTCAAACCTTATCTGTTTGAACTATCGTTGAAGCTGTCAAAAATATAAAAAAAATTAACATACGTATCATATGGGTTCGACACTTTGTTTCTTTAAACATATGCATCAAAGTAAAAACATTGCTATTTTTGATACTATATTAAAATTTTGAGTTTTATATATGTAAATTTGAAAGTTTAGGCGTGAGATACATAAATACATAAGAATTATGTGCTATGTAGCTAAATGCCCCTAAATTATATTTTCATTATTTTATGCTATAAATTTATACTTTGTATAAAATAGAGATATGACAATGAGTAATTGTAAAAGCATTATGTGTAACTAATTATAATTTATTTATGTTCATTATAATGAAAAAAATATGGAATTGTCTCAAAAAAAATAAATATTATCAAACTATATTTTTAAAGCATAAAAATGATAAATTAATGCATGCGCTCTGATCCATGTTAATGTGGGCCACCCTTGTAATTATTATTAACGAAAATTTATATGCATGACACAATTTTTTTATGTATTTACATATTTAACACATAAGCATTGATATTTAGATTTCTAACACTTTTGGTATTATATCAAGTTTATCTGTTATATATATATATATATAAGAATTGTGTGGTATGTTTGTAAAATTGGATGAAAGTTTTGGGTGATATGTATGTAATTGAATGACACACCCTTCACTCAAAGAACAACCAACCTCACTAACAATTGCATCAGGGGTAATTTTGGAAAAACTATTACATGTGGCGAATAACACATCTGGACGACGATTAGGATGCAGCCATGCGGACGTGTATCGCACGACGGCCCATCCGGACCGTTATCTAGATTTTATGGTGGTTGCATGTAATATTTTCTCGTAAATTTGGGCATGCTTCTCTAAGTTTGAAAGCATTATCCCATTGCTCCCATTCAAGGTGATCCACCCAACCCCATAAGATAATTGTAAATGATATGTTCTTTGTTAGTCGTATTGAAATATGTCATTTATGAATTATAACTTTGTATAAGCTATTCATAAATTTGGGTATGCTTCTCTAAGTTTTATGAGCGAGCAATTAACCACATCTTCTGAAAATCCGTTCGTAAGAGAAATATATGAGAAAATTCTCATTTGACTAACATGTGTCCAAGTAAATGATCATAGAGGTCAGAGAATATTGAAAAATGAGGCTAAGCTTGTATTATTTGTATAATTCCTTATTATTTTGTATCATCTTCTTTGTGCATGTGGCCCCTATTTATAGATGATGAAGTATTTTGATTGAGTAACATGTGGCCCCTATTTATAGATGATGAAGTATTCTGATTGAGTAAATAGATGAAACAATTATAATAATGTGAATACAAAATCCTGAGAGGTACCAGAGTGTATCTTACAACGCATGCAAGACTCTAAAACCCTGAGTGGTTTAAACGATACTTTAACACTCTTGATAAATGTTTAAGGAACCGAGCTAATGAGTAAGCGAGAGTTCTGAATTAAATGTGAATGGGGCCCATGCAGGTTGTTAATCGAGTTCTAAGTTTTGTCATTGTGAGGTGGCTCAAGAAAGCAACAGTAGGGCATATAGAGAAATTGATGAGTTGTTGATGCCACATCTTCAGTTTGGGTTGACCTGGCACCAACATGGATCTAATCGGAATTGGCCTATCAATTGTCTTGACGGTTGACATATTCTGACTTGACTTGGTGGGCTTTCATGTGTAAATATTTAGTTCTCAGATTCTCTTACCTTATCTTAACACACTGTGAAAAGAATAATAGAAATAAGTTCATTAGGCGATCATTTAATAATCATGTGCTTGCGATTAATGAGAGGGGTGATGCTTCCTTTCTTAGATTTCTTTTATCATTTATATAAGTGGGGTCATGGAAGTAAAGGAATGTGCTGAATTATTTTCCTAGAATTCCTCATTTGAGTATTAGCTTCATAGAAATTTCATATGATAAAAATGACAACGGCCAAAATGTTTGGTAAAAGAAAGTGAGCCGAAGAGGGTCTACTAAGAGGAGGAAGAAGAAGAGGCTTTTCTATAAACGGGGCCATTGAGAGCAAAGGTAGATCTCCCTCCATCGGCTCCACAGTCCGTTATCAGCGAGTCAAGGGCTTGAGTGAGCATTCTCTTCTTGTGAAAATTATGTTGGCACAAATGATTAATACTCATTTTGTATTTTTCAAGTAGATACATTTACTATGGAAATTAGAAAATTTGAGAGAAGATAATCTTACATGGTTTTAATTGCTTCGAGTGATATTTTTAGTTGAAAAGCTTTTCGTAGATCAATTTATT